TCACATTCGAGTCATTGTGCAAACAAACATTGCTTGGCAGTGTGGCACCATCGATGGTTGTGCTTCACTGTGGTGATGTGGTGGGATGTGTTTGTTTATCAGCTGGTGCGTGGATGGCCCAGTTCAGCCTAGGAAGGTGGCTTGAGGGTAATCTTTAAGTGTTTGGAATTACTGGTTGCTTGAAAGTCATGTTGTACAGTTGTGCAATAATGCCATGATGCTGTGTATTATAAACTACATTAAATCTTCTGGATTTTGCTTTCTCCTTCTTTAGGATGACCATATTTGTCTTAGGATCTTTGTTTGAGCTGGGGTCTCATGTAGCCCAGGCTGACCTCAGCCAAGAATGACCTTGAACTCATGGTTCTCCTGTCTGCACCTTCCAAGTGCTATAATTGCAGATATATGCCACCACACCTGGCCAGTGTTTTTTTTTTTTTTCATTATTGTTTGAGAATTTCTTACATGTATGTAGTGTGCTTTAATCAAATCCATCCCCTTTCCTCTCCCCTGAAATTCTCCTATCCCCATACCACCACTTTCCCTCCCAACTTTATGTGCTCTTTTTTTTTTTTAAACCCTTTGAGTTCACTTAGTTCTAACTCTATGCGCATGGGTATAGCGCCCTGAAAATAACTGACCCTTCCTCCCCTAGCAGCCATCAGTTGCCAATAGCTCCTCAGCTAGGAGTGGGACTTCATGATCTCCTCCCCTATCCATGCTGGGATTTCGGCTGGCTTCATCTTATGCAGGTCTGTGCATGCAGTGACGCTTCTGTGAGTTCATATGTGCAGTGACCCTGTCATGTGCAATAAATACTGTTTTGCTGCAGACGTTCATTATTTCTGGCTCTTAAATCTTTCTGTCTTCTCTTTGGAGATGGTCCCTCAGCCATGGGAGGAGGAGGGAAAAAGGGGTGTGATATACGTGTCCTATTTGGAGCTGAGCATTCTATGATCTCTTTCTGCATGTTAATCAGTTGCCACATTGTGGTGGTTTGAATGAAAATGTCCCCCATAGGCTCCAAGTATTTGGACATTTTGTCCCCAGATGATGGCGCTGTTTTGGGAGGTTTAGAAAGTGTGACTATCCTGGAGGAAGCAAGTCACTAGGGGTGGGCTTAGAGAGTTCTTAAGCCTTGCCAGATCTCCAGTTGCTCTCTTGCTTCCTGTGCCTGCATGATGATGTGAGAGCTTAGCTTCTGCTGCTCCTAGTCCAGCTACCTCCAACCGCTATGCCTCTCTGCCATGACAGACTATAATTCCCCTGGATCCGTAAGCTCAAATAAACTCTTCTTTCTATAAGTTGCTCGGGTCAGTGTTTCTATCACAGCAACAGAAAAATGACTAATACACACGTTTAATTAATCAGCATCTATGAAAAGAAGCTTCTCTGAATGAGGTTTGAGAGATGCAGTTTTATGGGTATAAAGATAAGAACTTAGAGGTAGAGGCTGGAGAAATGACTCCTTGGTTAAGAGCCCTTGTTGCTCTTGCAGAGGGCCTAGGTTTGGTTCCTAGCACTGACATGGCAACTAATAATCATCCATAATTCCAGTCCAGGGGCTCTGATGTCCTCTTCTGGCCTCCACAAGCACTGCATGCATGTGGTGGACTTACTTGCAGGCAAAATATTCATACACCTAAAAATATGAATAATTAAGGTGGTGCATGCCTTTAATCCCAGCACTTGGGAGGCAGAGGCAGATGGATCTCTGTGAGTTCAAGACCAGCCTGGTCTACATAGTGAGTTCCAGCCCAGCTAGGGCTACAGAGAGACCCTGTCTCAAAAAGACAAAAACAACAAAACAAAACAAACAAAACAAAACAAAACCCCCAAAACCCCACAAACAAACAAAAAGAACTTAGGGGTAGTTTATTACTGTGCCCATTTATCAGAATTTAGCAGAATAATAGTATTAGATTCTCCCATAGGATTTGTGACCTAGCCAGCCATGAGATTTTGGCCCAGTTAACACTACTAGGCATGAGTTCTGTCTTGTGGAACAGGTCTTAAATCCAGTCAGAAAATAGTTTGTTACTACCATAGTAGTCATGCTCTATTGCACCAGTAGGCATATCTTGTCAGGCCAGTCATTTCTGTAGTTCACTGAGTTCACAAATAAGTAAGATTACTACTGTTTTTCCCTTCAGTAGCATGCATAGCACCTTCCATTACATGAAAGCTAGCCAACAGGGATGAAGCTTCCAGGCTGATACCAAATTGTGGGACAATTTGAGAAGTATTGTTGTTAGTTCTTTGAATGTCTGGGAGAATTCTTCACTGAAGCCATCTGACCCTGGGGTGGATTGATTATTTATTTTTATTTATTTATTTATTTATTTATTTATTTATTTATTTATTTTTGTCTTTTTGAGTCAGGGTCTCCCTGTAGCTGTAGCTGGCCTGGAACTCACTGTGTAGACTAGGCTGGCCTGGATCTCACAGAGATCTGCCTACCTCTACCTCACAAGTACTAGGATTTAAAGGCATGTACCATCATGCCAAACTTATGAGTCTGTTTAAATTATATTTTAATTTATCTTGGTTTAATTTTGGTAGATCATATGCATCTAGAAAGTCATCCATTTCTTTTAGATTTCCCAGTTTAGTGGAATCTAGATTTTTAAAGTACATTCTTATGATTCTCTGAATTTCCTCAGTGTTTATTGTACTATCTCCCTTTTCATTTCTATTTTTGTTAGTGTCCCTCGCTCCCTAGCACACTCTCTCTCTCTCTCTCCCTCTCCCTCTCCCTCTCTCCCTCTCTCCCTCTCTCCTCTTGTTACTTTGGCTAATTTGTCAATCTTGTTAATCAGTGGGCATCAGAAGCTGGGCAGACAGCAGAAGTATGGGCCTACTGGTGGGCGCCTGCTGGGCCCTTACCTGTTGGCACCAGGGTAGGAGGATTGGATGACTCAGAAGTGTGGGCCAAGTGGTTCAAGCCTTAAGGATCTTACCTGATGTTGGCAGGAACTGGGTGCTGTCTTAGGATCTTTAAGATGCTTTCCAGTGTGATAATGTGTTTCTTCTTGGGCTGTTCACATCTTTGTATTAAAACTATATACTGTTTTTTTCCATATTAGGTGAACAGTTTTATTTATCCTCCCTACTTTCTAGCCCAGTACAGATAAGATGCAGAAGTTGCAAATTTTTTACCTTCTCTTAACTCAAGTAATTGAAAGCAACTTACCACAGAGTAAAATTTATGATATAATATAGATTTACAGGTAGGGAAATAGAAATGAGGTGGAAAATTGAGCCACATGACTGTCTTATTGTCAGCCTGTGCAGCCTTAGGGTCTGGTGGTTGCCCAGGAAGGTGGTTGGCTAAAGAGCAGAAGGGACTCTGCTGTTGGGGAATGCCATTTCTCCTAAGAGGTTGTGTCACATGGGCCGTGTATGGGGAGTGATCTGTGGAGGAAGAGGGCCGTTCTACCCTGTAGACACTTATGTCTCTCTGTTTCAATCTCTGCCCTCAGTTTTACTCCTCAAAAATTCTAACAATGAAGTTACTGCCCCACTTTATTTAAGGAATAAAAAGTAATTTATTATCTCAAATACTCAAGATACTTACAAGTAAGTGACCCTCGTGGTTGATGTTGGCTGAGAACATCACTTGGTCAGTTCTGCTGTGCTTTCTGGTTCTTTGTGCTGTGAATAGTGTGCCACTGTGCAGTCCATGCTCTGCTTATTTCAACGCATGTGGTCCCCCAAATGGGTGTGTGTACTTATTTCAGCACACACATAGAAGTTACTGTGACTGATGAGCCAACCTAAAAGCAGGCAGCCTTGTGTCTAGTTTGTGTTAGTCTAATGTCTGATTTAGCAATGCATTGCAGTTGCTTCCTGTCAAGGTTCTGGCTACTGCTGTGGTCTGGGACCTTGCTTCCTGCTGGCATTTGCTGGTTGCTACCCTGACTGTGTAGGAGCCGGTTTGTGGGGGTAGTAGTGGAAAGTGAAAAACAACAGACACCATCGGCCTAGAGAAGGAACCTTAGGGATTTGTGACAAATCACACTGGCCTGTGGAAGGCCCTGTGATGGATAACTAATTTCATTTTCCTGTGCATGGTAGCTGTTAGCTTCAGGTCCTTTGTGTTGCTGCTTGAATAACTCCCCGGTCAGCTGATAGGAGAGACTGTTAAGAAGGTGGTCTCATCTTATTAAAGGAGCCATTGCCCCAGCTGATGAGCTCTGCTCCATCATCCGGAAGCACAGAAATGAGGGTGAGCAGACTTGATCTGGGTACCTGAAGGTTATCCCCCTTCCAAAATAGTGAGGAGATTTGGGCTTTGAAGTTAGATCTGAACTTAGGAGTCTTGCTAGTCTTACTTTTGCTATGTAAAGCACAGTCCCTCATTTTCCTTTTTTTTTCCTTTCTTCTTTCCTTGAGATGGTCTTGCTATATGTAATGCATGTTGGCCTTGAACTCATTCTGGTTTTCCTGACTCAAGTTTCTGAGTGTTGTAATAACACGCATGAGTTACTATGCCCAGCTTTGTTTTCCTTTTCTAGAAAATAGTGACAGTCTTGAATTCTAATGATGTGTATGTGTTGCATGGTTAGTGGCTCAACACTACTAATAAATAATGCTATTATTTATCATTTGTAATATTATTTATTATTTATCAGTTCTTCTACCACACATTTTGCTGGAGGTGATCATGAAAGAACTGCCTTTTATAGGTGTTCTTTGCTTTGCTGGAGAGGTGAATACTCTTATAGAAAGCTGCTATTTGATATTAAAAATATCAGAAAGCCCTAGAACTGAATAGATGTGAGACTGACAGGTGCAATGGTTTAGTACTGCCCGAGTCCTCTTTGTGAGGTAGTAGAGGATGGAAACTTCATCTAGACTATAGCATTTAGAGATTAGGCCTTTGTGAGGTGATCATCAAGGTGGAACCTTGTGATTGAATCCTGGTGCTTTTATAAGACAGATTAGAAGAGACACATGCATGTGCCTCCGGTCTAATGTGATGCTTTGTGTTGCTTCAGGACTACCAATGAGAAGGCTGCCACCAGATTCTGACCCTTGAGCCTCCAAGACTGTGAACCAAATAACCTCTTTATAAAGTTGTTGAGCCTCAGGTATTTTGTTACAGCAATACATTGCTCACCAGAGTGTTTTGACTGTATGTTATCTCACTTTCAAGTAAATTAAATTACAGAGAAAGATGAATTAACTTTAAGAGCTCCTTGAAGTAGCACCTAGCCTTCAAGTTCTTAGACACAAACATAAAACGAGGTCCATATACTCTTTGTTCAGAACAGGATAATAGGGATATAGAGAGGAGGCTTAGTGTTTGAATTGTGTGTTTGAGAATAGCAGATGTTTAAATGCTGTAAAGTGACACAGGAAAGAGCTTGAACTTTAAGAATATTCCTTTCCTTTGTTCTCTCTTTTCTCTGTGATTTTCACATTTATATTAATTATCTCCACATGTCATATTAGGTTATACTAAGAATCTGAATTTCAAATAAATGTCAAATCTGACAGTAAGCTAAAGTCTTTCAATAGGTAGTCATGAGGAAAATGGACTTTCTGGTTTTGAAGGATTTTTTTTCCTTCCTCCAAATGTCTTGTCACCAAAATAACTGGAGAAATCTCATTAACCAGGTGTCTTAGGGATGCGGGAAAGGCTACAGGACTTGGTTGTATGGCATAGCAGGCTCTGAACCAATTGTACCTCCTGTGCCCTGACACCAGGCAAGCCATCATGGAAGTCTCTTGTCTTTCCAGACTCAACTTCCTGCCCCTAAAGTGAAGCTACGAAGCCAGCAGAGCTTCAGGTGAGCTGGACTTGGTGGTGCATACCTGGAATCCTAGCACTATCGAGGCTGAGAGAGGATGATTGCTGTGAGTTTGAGGCTAACCTGGGCTACACAGTAAAAACTTTCCCCTATGTGTGTGATTCAAGCATTCCTACAAAAAGGCAAGTGTGTTTTATTCCTTTCTGAGTCCCAGAGTGTGTGTAGAATTCACAGTCATCTCCAGCAGTGGTTCAGTTGTGTACGTGTTCATGCAGTTTCATCACTGGAGACTGTAGCTATTTTTCATGAAATGACAATCCCCCCCCCCCGGGTGGGATAGAGTTTATTAGCAGAGGAAAAAGCACACGAGACAGTTCCCTTTGGGATAGAGAAGCTGTCTGTCTACAGGTTGTTGGCTGGGGGTGTTGATAGGGGGCTTCGGGGGATGTGGAAGGTGGGAATTTTTTTGTCTTTTTGAAGCAGGGTCTCCCTGTAGCCCCAGCTGTCCTGGAACTTACTATGTAGACCAGGCTGGCCTTGAACTCATATCCACCTGCCTCTGCCTCTCAAGTGCTGGGACTACAGGCATGTGCCACCACACCCAGCTTGGGGAAATATTTTTTTAAAAATTCAGGTGGAAGCCGGGCATGGTGGCGCACCCCTGTAGTCCCAGCACTTGGGAGGCAGAGGCAGGTGGATCTGTGAGTTCAAGTCCAGCCTGGTCTACATAGCGAGTTCCAGGACAGCTGGGGATTACAGGGAGACCCTGCCTCAAAAAGACCAAATAAATTAATTAATTAATTAATTAAAAATATAAAAATTTAGGTGGGGGTGGGGGGAGGAGCCCAGGGCTTATCAGGAGAAAGTAGCCTCTGTCAAACTGCCCCCTTCCTTCCTCTTCCATCAGCCAGGATCTGGGTCAAATGGTGTAAAAAGTCTGTTTATCCTTCTAAGACCATCAAAGAGGAAGCATGCTGTGCTGAAGCAACTCCTTGCAGTGATTGGGTCTCAGGTCAAAAGGTGTAAAGAGTCTGTTTATCTTGTCTTCTAAGATCAGGGTGCGCATTGAATCAGTTCCTGCAGTCTTGGGGCCTACAAAACCATGAGGCCCTGCTGCATTGGGGGTTGCTGTATATCTGAACCCTAACATTCCAGCCTTTTGTGTTATAGGATAGGGGGCGCCCTTGTGGTCTTGCTACTTACTGCTGGACAAGGTGGACATGGGGGCGGGGCTCAATTAGGGGTCTGTCAGACAGTGGGGGTTCCCTTCTCATGCAGCTTAACAGAGTCCTCCATAATCAACAGGAGCTTATACACATGTGGAGGGAAGGAAAGTAACATCTGATTAAAATCAGTATGCATTAGTTTTTGGATTCAGCCCTGAAAATATCTGAAGGTGCAGGGAGCAATGGTTAGCACCAAAGTAAGCACCAAAGTAATAGAAAGCAGGGGGCCAAGAAAGGCCAGAAGCCAGGGAGTCAGTCCTGTAAAACTATCCCGTTGAAGTGACTGCTGATACTGGGAAGTTTTAGGTGAAAAATGAAATCTTTTAGGGAATCAGAGCTCCCAAATACTTTTAACATTTTTGGCCTTTGGAACAGAGTACATTGCTAAAAGGCCCAAGGACAATTTGACTTTTAGCCAAGAAAGAAACTGGCTACTTTTCTTTGGGGTCTTTTATCCTAACTGCCTATCCAATTTCTACCTCCTGTTCTTATCACACCACCCGCTGAAGACGTTTACCCAAATTGCCAGTAGGGAATCTGGATGCAGACTGCTCTGGCTTCTTCCATGCTGAACAGGGGCTCAGGGTGAGGCAATTGGGGTACCCCCTTCAGTGGGTCTATCTAAAAGACTCCCAACCTAGGAGATGTGAAGGACAGGGAACCAGAAAAAGTGAGAACAGGGAAAATTTCAAATGTCCAAATTAAAGTCCATTGGAATTTTTTGAGGAGGACTTCCAAAATCATCCATCTACTGGGTTCCTCCGCATTTTTCTTTTTTTCTGCCATGGCTGGACTTGAGAGTGATGGACTCAAGATTTGTTTTCAGGCATTTTGATAACTGTTGGAGTGGCTAGAATCAGTGTCAGTTACCTCTCAAAGGCTTCATGAAATAACAAGTTATAACATAAATCTGGCACGGTTTCCTTATGGACTGACCTCCATTTTCCTGAGAACTTACACAGCCTGAGCCACTGCCACAAAGCCTAAGAAATTGAAATCCACACATGCAAGGTAAGAGTCATGCTCTTGAATATTACAATGGTATTTTTTATAGACTCCAGCACCTACTTATGCAATCAGCATTTTATTATGGGATTTTCAGGCATACTGAATGAATTGAAGCAGTTTAATGGTGCATTTGCATACAGCCAGCCACACTTGCATTCTACAGTTAACGTATCATATATGGTTTACCTTCTGCCTCTCTGGCCATCTACAAATCCATCTTTCTTGTTTTGGGGGGGTGGAATTTTCAGAGCAAGTTGCTGACTTCCCCGTAAATGTAGATTGCTACCTACAGCTCAGTATTTATATATGACTATGACTTATTCTCATAAAATTTACATATAGTGAGATATATATAGTAGGTATATCATTCACTGAGTTCTGACAAGTGTTTTCAATTCCAGCTTACTGGGGTGGGATAACAAAACTGTATTGTTAATAGAAGAAGGCCTCTCTGGCCTTTTCCAGTCACCCATTACCAGTCCTTATCAGACGGATTTATTGTGCTGAGTTTTTTCACTAGGGGTTAGTTTTATCTCTTATATTACATAAGGAGAACCAGAGAGTATATACTCTCTGTGACTCTCTGTTTGATTACACAGAGTAGCCGCTGGTCTTTGTAATGATTAGCCATTGTCAGTGGGAAAAGTTTTTTGTGTTTATAGCTTCTAATAGTACATTTCCACATCTTTCTATTCTCACAGTACACAAACTTTAACTGGCGTTGAATACCCCAGAAGGGTTGTTAGGTTACAAACTTCCTACCAAGTTCCTGTTTTGGGGGGAAGGCCTGGGATCAAATCCTGCCCCCAGCTGCTGGTGATACTGACATTGATGGGGCTGGTCCTGGGAACATACATGGAGAAACTGCTCCATACAGAATCATTTTAAGTGTTGTACAAAATATTGTGTGTCAGTTCCCCAGGGGAAAATAGTAGCTGATCTATAAAGCTGTTCTTCTGATTCAGTTATTTCAAAGCTCTTTCCCTTCATGGCATGCTGTCTGTGGCCCCTTCTTTGGTGGGAACTGAGAATTCTTGGTCTTTATATTCTTTTTTTTTATGTTTTTATTTATTTTTATTTTATGTGTATGTGTGTACTGCCTGCATGTAGGTAAGTAACACCCATGTTGTTCAGTGCACACAGAGGACAGAAGAGACGGCCGGATCCCCTGTTATAAACAGTTGTTAGCTGCCATGTGGGTGCTGGGATTTGAACCTGGGTCTTCTTCAAGAAAGGCCAGTGTTCTTAACTGCTGAGCCATCTCTCCAGCCCCTGTATTCTTTGTTTTAAAGTCAGTTTCTGTGCTGTTTCCGCACAGGAGTGTGCTCAGTTTTCCTCAATGTAGAAAGACTAAATGGCTTTGATTTTTCCATTTTTTAACTCATTCATTTTTACTTCCAATTTTCCTTTTTCTTCCTTTGTCTTTTTTTAAAAAACTATTTGAACCCTAAACTGCATTGTTTTTTGTTGATGTATCAACCTGTTTAATATTGTTTTCTCAAAGCTTGCATCAAAAGATTTACATGTGCTAGTGGCTGCATACACACCCACTACAAAACTCAAAGATAAGAAGTCTTACAGCCAACACTTTATCTCCCTTTGTTGCCTAATGTTTTCCTTCCTTTGAGCCATGTACTGTTAACAGTGTCTTGGGATACACTCAGTCTACAATATGCAAGGTTTCTGAATTTGTGAGTTTTCTGATTCTTCAAAATGTATTTGCACCTAAAAGCAGAATTTGAGATGCTTCCCTGTTCACTGACAGACGTGTAGGGGCAGGGCAACCCTTTGCTTAGACTGATACCCACATCACAGCTGAGGTTGGTAGATACATTCTGCCTTTACATTTCATCTCTCCTATTGCAAAGAAGGGGCCTTTTGGTGGTCTGTTTGGCGTCATGTTTTGCACATTCTTGTGGTTTTTAATGGTTGTTTAAAATGATCTCTAACCATTGTCCTGAAGTTCCTTCTAGAACTCCTAAGTAGTCACTGAGGTATCAATAAATAAATCACTTGTGTTAGAAGCTTCATTCAGGTTTTGGCTGTGAAATCACTGTTAATATATTCACTATATATAATGCATGTAAACAGAAACACACATAACATGGTTAAGTATTGATCAGGTGACAGCAATATATCCAGAGACTTCAAGGAAATTAACCCTATATTTCCTCTGGGAACATCACTTCAATTTTTGCTGACTCAGTAATCACAGCAGCTTGTAGGATAGCATTAACCAGCACGAATGAGTGCTTTCTGTGTACTTGGTTATTTAAATACTAACTCAGTGATCAGAGTGACTTTGTAGAATAGCATTAACTACTGTGAATGAGTGTCTCCTGCATAGTTGGCAGTTTAAATGCTTTCATGTTTTATCTAATCCTTACAAAAGACCTATGAGGTTATAGAACAGTATGAGTATTGGTGGAGAAGCGAATATATGGCAATGGGTGAGGTTGGTCAGGGCTGATCAAATTCTAATTTAGGGGCTGAAATTCCACTCTTCTGCTATCTTTCTACTGTGCCTAGATTACAATATACTATGTGAATTATGTTGTTCTGAATTACGAATTTTAGAGTAATGTTTGAGTCCATGCTTGCAGTTGGCTTTCTACATGGACTATGCTTTGGTTTTCCTACTGTTTTCTCTTTAGATCTGCCATGGATAGTGGATGATGCCATGCAAATGTCAATGTGAAATAAGTGGTTTCTGTGACTTTTGGCTAAACAGTAATTTGGAAATATATAACTTTAGATGTTCATAATAGATTTTCATGATGGATTTATTCCTTTTGACTTGGAAAA